CCATGACCTGAATGTTTTACTGCATTTTGAGCTTTCACTATGACAACTTGTAAATAGGACTCTGCATGGCCCCAAAACAATGGCTTGTGTTTACAATGGTGATGTCTCATCATTTTACTGTGATTTACGTGTCACCATCAGCTACAGCCACTACAAAGCACTAATTTATGACCAAGGCTGAACACTGAAAGGGGTGCAGGCCTTAACCTTTGATTCACAAATTCGGAAATGACATTTCAAAGTGCAGAAGCCATAAAAGTCCTTCAAAATTTTGCATTGTGATAGACACACTGGAGTCCAAAGTCGAAGAAGTCTGTTTGTGCGGCAAAAGTTACCCAGACTAGACTTTGTTCCAAGAATGAGACAGGAAGTCCCCGTGCTGTTGCCAGAACACAGCACTGTATACTGTATATAGCTCATGCTGCATACAGTTCATGCAGCGCTGACAACGCCCACATGTATTAGTAAAGGAAATAGTTTGTTTGGGTCAGCTTGGTCCAAACTAACTATTTAAAGTGATAGCAAAGCTGGGAGATGGGAAAGCAAAAACTAACCAAATAGATTCCATCCGAAACAGAGAACACACAAGGACGTGGAGAGGCTTCAAATCTACAATTCGGTGAACCCCTCTTTTGTATACTGAAGCTGTAAAGAGTAAAAACCTCGAAAATTTTCAGTTGGAGTGAGGAAAACAAAAACCCACTTGGACAGAAATCCCTGAATGGCTAAAAATGAAGTCTGATAATGCTGAGACATGAGAAGATGCAAAGCAAAAAAATGTGGACAAAAGGTTAAACTCTGTTTAGTAGCCTTTGGATCCTACCTCTAGAAACCATGCATCTATGTGAGGTTCCCAAATTCCCTTGAAAACCATCAAGCATCCCCCCACCTAAGATGGAGCTTTATGAAAAGACGTTCTCCTAAGAAGGGTAGGCATAGCCAGCCAGATTTGAATAGAAGAAAGGGATTCCCAAGACAGCATCCAGCGCCACATCGCACAAAATGTTCAATGTGACAGTCATCTGTTAAACGTGATCAGCAAGTTGACTGTCAATGCCAGGGGCCACCAGGTCCCTACTTAAAAGAGTTACCAAACCCACATCAGTAAAATCAGTCTGTATATGCAGTAAAGCATGCTTATTATACTCACTATGGAACCTAAGGGGTTAATCCTATGCATTTTGTAAAAAAGGCTGTTTGATCCTGTCTTCTCTGATCCTCCCCTTCTTCTACTACCCCCCAATCAATCTGCCGATAGTACAGATCTAGGTGTCTCTTTGCACATGCTCAGTTTGGTGTGCATTGCTAGAGGTTTTTTTTCTTTGGGAGGGTGTATGTGATCAGCACAGGGCCAATGAGCACTGTCCAGACAGAGAGTCAGGGGTCCTGCAGCCTCATAGGATAGTCAAACTAGAAAACTCCTACAAGATTAACCAGTGCTTAGCTGGACACTGAGAAATCACAAGACTGCTATATACTGCTGAAGAGAAAAGGTACTTGGCAGTTTATGTTTACTAAAATAATTGCATTCCCATATTCTGTGTACTGTGGGAGACCAGATATAGTGAATGCAGGGTCCTGGGCTTAGTAACACCAATGGCTAATGTTTGGGAAAACAGTGAGGAAAGCTTGGGTTTAAAGGCAGACCCCACAAAGGCATAGACCGATCAGAAATTGCTGGTCAATATGGATTGGTAGACAACTTACTAATGGTTTTAAATAAAATCCTTCGAAAGTGGTACAAGAATGTCAAACACCACTCAGGGACAAGCAATTATTTGTCAAGATGTTATCCAATTTGGAGAAGCAGTATACTGTATGCAGTGGTAGAGGATACCAGGCACTGTGTCAAGAACTGGGCCCCGCACATAACAGCATGCAGCTAGAAAAAACAGTCTATAACAGGCAATTAGTAAAATCTGCAAGACAGGTTACCAGGCACTGCACCAAAAGCTGCTAGAAATCCAGACCACAGGATGCCAGATACTGTACCCAGAGCACATAGCAAGCATCAGAACGCTGCAGTAGTTTATCATACTCTCTTTTCAGGCTCGCTTAACCTTTCCTATTAGGCCCTGGAGGTGAGGTGATATTAGGAATGTCTGGGACTTTTAAAATTAAAAGGAGCTCTATGGTGACTTAAACGTTTAATATTTTTAACATTGCTCTGCATGTCTCCTCCTCCCCTCCCTGTCTGTCTCCAGCACCGCACCCGGGAAACTAGCAGGGAGAAGAGAGACCTGCAGTGTATTCAGCACCGATTGGGTTCATCAGGGAAGGGGGTGAGTGTCGAGCTTATCCTTTGATGCCAGAGCCATTTTTGTTGTTTTTTGAGCACGTTTAAAAAAAGGATTACACAAACTCCCAAACATTATATATTTTCTGAAGGTAAAGACCCTAGAGAATAAAATAGTGGTAGTTTCAATTTTTTATGTCACATGATATTGTTGCAAAGGTCTAGTCAATGCAAAATTTCAGTACAAAATACACTTAAAATAATTTTAGGGCACCAAAAAAGCAATAAATTACCCTATTTTTGGTAAAATATAAAAAGATGAAGTTACACCAAGTAAACAGATATCCAACATGTCAAATCTTAAATTTGCGAGCGCTCATGAAATGGTGCCAAACTTTAGTACTCCATATTTTCTATAGGGGACCCTTTTAAAGCCCCTTATAGGTCATCAGTATAATGTTACGGAGGATGTCTCATGCTAAAAATTTTGCTCTCATTCTGGCATGTATGTGTGTATATGTGGGGATGGGGGCTCAAAACATTTTTTTGAGGGGATGTTATGTGCAACTTAGATTTTTATACTATTAGAAAAAAAATTTTTTTTACTTAAATTTTTATTTTCATCACATAGGGTATAAAAAGTCCCCTATGTGATGATTTGTTGGTGAAAGGTTTGCTTTAATGAGACATCCAGGGTCTAAAAGACCTTGCGGAGGCCGGCACTGTGGTGGACTGTGTGAAAGCAATCGGGTGGCAGCTCTGCCCGCAGCAGAGCTAAATGTTGAAAAAAAAGCTCCCTGACTGACACCTGAAACTACATGTCCCAGGTGTCGGGCGATACAATTTCAACATCCCTGAAATAGTAAATCAGAGTTCACCTGTGTGCTTTCTGTGAAGCCCCCAGAGGTTTGTTAGAGAACTTTAGTGAAAAAACAACATCATGAAGGCGAAGGAACAAATGAGACAGGTCAGGGATAAAGTTGGGGAGATGTTTAAAGCAGGGTTAGGTTGTAAAAAAAAAAAATATCCAAAGCTTTTAACATCTCACGGAGCACTGTTCAATCCATCATCTGAAAATGGAAAGAGTATGGCTCAACTGCAAACCTACCAAGACATGGCAGTCCACCTAAACTGACAGTCCAGGCCAGGAGAGCATTAATCAGAGGAGCAGCAAAGAGGCCCATGATAACTCTGGAGGAGCCGCAGAGATCCACAGCTCAGGTGGGAAAATCTGTCCACAGGACTATTAGTCGTGCACTCCACAAATCTGACATTTATAGACGAGTGGCAAGAAGAAAGCCATTGTTGAAAGAAAGCCATTAGAAGTCTCATTTGCAGTTTGCGAGAAGCCATGTGGGGGACACAGCAAACATGTGGGAGAAAGTGCTCTGGTCAGATGAGAACAAAATTGAACTTTTTAGCCTAAAAGCAAAAAAACGCTGTGTGTGGTAGAAAACTAACACTGCAGAAAACCTTGAGACTAGGGTGGAGGTTCTCCTTCCAGCAGGACAACGACCCTAAACATACAGCCAGAGCTACAATGGAATGGTTTAGATTGCAGCATATTACATGTTAGAATGGCCCAGTCAAAGTCCAGACCTAAATCCAATTGAGAATCTGTGGCAAGACTTGAAAATTGCTGTTTACAGACAACTCTCCATCCAATCTGACACAGCTTGAGCTATTTTGCAAAGAAGAAAGGGCAAAAATTTCACTCTAGATGTGCAAAGCTGGTAAAGACATAACCAAAAATACTTGTAGCTGTAATTGCAGTGAAAGGTGGTTCTACAAAGTACTGACTCAGGGGGTCTGAATACAAATGCACGGCACACTTTTCAGATATTTATTTGTAAAAAATGTTGAAAACCATTTATCATTTTCCTTCCACGTCACAATTCTGTGCCACTTTGTGTCGGTCTATCACATAAAATCTCAATGAAATACATTTACGTTTTTGGCTGTAACATGACAAAATGTGGAAAATTTCAAGGGGTATGAATACTTTTTCAAGGCACTGTAGGTGCAATAGTGAAATATAAACAGGCCTTATAAAGTATGTGCTCAAACATCAATATAATTATCTGCAGTGTAGAAATTTCTTCTCCAATGATAATCGCCACATATGCTGCCATGTTGTGGAATCACACTCACCAAACATTTTGACCTCCTGGTTATAGGAAAGTCAAATAGCACCTATGGTATGGCTAATTGAAGAGAATTCCAGGATTTCAATATCTGTCCGAAACCTAAATCTACCTTCTGGCAGCAGAAAAATCTTGCGAATAAACAGAAAACAGCAGTGTTTAAGAAAACATGCACACTCTCCTGCAGACACTAAGCAACAGTTAGCAAGTGGGAGGGGTTATAGACTCAAAGGGCTGGCCCTCAGTTTTCTATATGCCTAGTGTCCATTTCTACTGCAGGTGGCACTATAACCGTACATTGTTTCTAATCATCAACCCTCCCTCAATGGATGATAAATATAATGATTATAGAAAACCCAACTGAAGAGTCCTAGTTTTTAAGAACTTGACCTCTCTGTAATGTGAGCAAAGTAATATAATGATCAGAAGAAAGCACATAGGATTTTTTTTTCTGGATAACAATGGCAACAGTAGACATTTTTCTCAGCACAGCTTTGCGGTTATAATTTTAGTAATTTCCTCAAACCAGGTTATAAAATGCATATTCATGAGTTGGTTTTCATCTAGTAATAGAGCTAGGTTATGTGCCCAGATCATGAAAAATCAATAAACTCACTTACTTTTTAATTTGTGGTTTCATTTCTGCTTCGTCCTCCAGCCACTCTGCCATTTCCCACATGCTGCCTTTACCAAATTGCTCCTCTGTAGGAGTTGGAGACTTTCTGAAAATAATCAATGCTCAACTATAAGAAGAGACCATCCGAAATAGGGTTAAGAACAGAGAAGATTCACTAAGATGAAGCCTATACTACCTGGACTGTGGAGAATCCGCCTGAAGGTCAGGTGTTGGATTGGGTGTACCTGGCCTTCGGGGTTTCAATGTGCTGTATGCTGGCAGTGGCCGCTCCCCACTAAGACGGTCCTGCAGGAAACTTTCTCTGTTCAGGTTCACCTCTGAATAGGGACATCCGACAGCACTAACCAAAAATAAAAGAATTTTATAAAAACATACATGCAGGAGAACATTTAAGAAGTAAAACAAAAAGCTACTTGCGTATAGTGTGTGCCATATCGTGGTCCCCGCACATGTCCGATCCCTTTACAACCAGGGATGGGACAGCCCTGTCCAGGAATTGCAGCTGCGTCTCCAACACCTGCAAAAAAAAATATTTACTAACTACGAGATAATCTCTTTATCATTTTACAGTATATCTTGTCCTTTATTCCAAAATGGCACAGGAAAGGGGCTAGAAAACATTCTGAACAACCATTTTGTCTTACCTGTCGGCAATTGAAGAGGGTGGCTAGTCTTTGCACACCAACCTACTGGATGAATATCTGGACTGTCTGCATCTATCCAATAGTCATAGAGTGAGCTCCAGCCATCAAAATGTAGCTGAAATAAAATTAAGTATATTTCAGGCTATCCTCCAAAAGGCATTTCCATTATTTTAAAACATCCCTATTTTATCAGTTTTAAAGGCAATACCTTAAGACGGTTTTCCTCTCTCTGAACAATAGTGCAGACCCGAATTAACATGGGATTCCTTTTATCTACAGCTTCAAGTTTCATTTGTGGTTGGAAGCCATGTGCAGGGCG